ACCTATTCTCTTATCGTCTTTCTGAACGTCGGGATTGCGTGCGACCTCATGCTAATACAAGGTGGCTATATAACTGACTGGTCAGTGGTTGACCTCACCATAGTTACAAACCCTCGAGAGGGCGTTACAGCCTTTTATACTTTCCACATATATCCGCAATTACGACATATATTCGGTAATAATAAAAATTATCCTTCCTCAATAATATTTTTAATCCTTAGAATGCATACGTAAAAACCCAATAACTACATTTATTTAATCAAAATTTTTCCCGTTTCTTAATAATAATTCTTTAATAAAACAGTAATGATATAATATTATAAATTATAATTTGAATACCCATAGCCTTAGTTTAAGCACTTAGGCACTTAGTACTGTTCTGTATGTATTTTAAATTTCATTATTATTGTTTGAATTATTAAAATAATGCGCGTTATAGTTTATAATTACGACTTTCAGAAACTAGGTTTGTAATATTTATCGGTATTCTTTTATCAATAAACACACAAACTTACGTTTAGAAATTCTCTGTAGAGGATCGCAATTATCTGACTTATCAAGATATTTAATTATCCGAGTTGCACATTACTCTTTTATACTTATATTATATCTTATATTAAAAACAGACTTTTTTATATAAACGTACAATTTATATAATAAATTCATTAATTATTTTATATAATATTTCGCCAAATAGTTAAAAGATTTAATGTAATAGAAAACCCGCTTACCCAACTCATTGTTCAAAAAGTTTAAAAAAAATTAAGTTTCACAAAAATAATAAAAAAATATTATATATTTTATCATATATTTAATAAGAAATCTTCGTAAAATTGTCCGTAGACTATTATTTTTATTAAAAATATATTTAATTTATAGTTTTATAACAACCATAGGTTGCGCAATAATATTATTTCTACATCCTTGGGAAAATTTATCTATATTTTCATGCAATTATATCTAAGTAAGAAAAATATCTGTCATCATTTACTGGTGAACATTTATGAAGTGCCATTCATGATTACTTAATCTGATTGAATTGAAAATTTGTATTAGTTCTCCACAGCCATTACTAGTTACAGGTAGTAAGTATACCTTTGGAATTATAATGGAGGGGATGGTCGCCAATCGTGACGTACACGTGACTCGTAGAGCCACATCAACGTAGGGGATGAACAGTACAACCAGTACAACCCCTTTCACACGCGTGGCATACGCGGCCGCGTGAAGTGTGCTTCCACACGAATCTCGAGAATGTTGTCTTCGGAGACGATTGTTCGCCAAATGATTCTCTCCAGTGCGATTCTCGAAGAAAAATAATAAGCGCACAAAATTAAAATCGTCGCGCGAAAATAATTATTTAAGAAAAAAACAGTGAAAAATACAATGTCGAAAATATTGGAACGAGGGTTAAATTATTTTCGAGGATCGTTTTTAGACGAAAAAAGAATCGCGAATTTTTTTATTTCGAAAACCTGTGCGTTATTGCATTGCCAAAAGATTCACTCGACCTGTGATCTATGGGTATTCTTATAAACATGAAATATTTGATGATCTCGTGATTCTCTGTGTTCAGGTAAGTTTACGTGTTTTTAATAACTTCTGCTTGATATCTATTTGACTATTAATATATTATTTAATTATAATATAATACAATAATTAAATATATAACAAAATTTTACAATACTAATAAAATTTTATCATTATTGTGTTTTATCTTTATAAGTGCTGGATTTTAAGGAAACACAATGATGTCGTATTTGATTTCTGTCTCGTAGAAAGACATCGAATAATTAAAAAAAAAACTCATTAATTTTTTTATTATAAAACAAAATAATATTTGCAAATTTTACATTTAATATCACATATCAGGTATTTAATATAATATATTATATTAAAGAATATTTTACGCGTTACTATATTTTTTCTTTTGAATAATTTGATATATTATTATGACTATTACAAATTTTTTTAAATTGGAAAATAATTCCCTTGTAATATACAATTTTACGGAGGACATAATCAGAGAAAGAGTTGGAAGGTTAATGACTCTTCTATTCATTTGCAATGAGATCTCAGCATTATATATACATGACGAAATGTCGATGTAGTCGACATATCGACATCTTTCACGTGCATTGAAACTTTGCGGCAACGTGCACAATATACATGGTGCAAGCGTTCATTTATTTATTATATATTTATAAGCAATTTGATGAAAGTTCACAGTAGATTTTCAATCGCGATCACGAATATCGATTTCTTTCAAGTATCCAATAATGTCGGCACAGCTCACAAATACGGTGAAAAAAAGGAAAAGCTTATCGATCGCTTTAACATGGACACTGACCGGTAAAAATATATTAGCGACACAGTATGCGCGTGGACAGGTTAAAGCCCATTTCATCGTTAGACAAACAAGACTCTTATTGTGGATCTATGTGTAGAAGAATCATACTAAATATTCCATTAAATGTCTTACGTCTGCTACATGATAAAATATTTATGCAATGCCAAGGCACAAGACATTGACAGAAAGTATCTATTGTAAATAGGAATAGAGTAGATAGAAATTGTACGGAGTAAAATAAATTTTCTCGTTTAAAAATTTCTGTTTAAAACTTTATATATATTTATATA